TGTCTTGTTCCCTGACTTATTTCAGGGCTAAGAACATGGCCTATCATGCTGTAAAAGAACTTGGGTGGTTTATTTTCAAAAAAAAAAAAGAGAAAGCTTTTAGGGGGAAAAAAGGTTTCTTTTTTCCTAAAATCATCTTTATATTAGAGATATCTCAAGACCACTTTAGTGAAAGGTGGAGTTGCTGAGAAGATACTTCTACAGAGCAGTTATAGGATGAGGAACATTTGTTATTGTGTTGCTTTTCCATCTCTGACTTTCTTATATCTAATTTTACATTTGACTGATTCAAAGCTCATGGAAAAGTTGTGGAAGTATTTAATGAACAACCATAAATCCCTCATTTAGAGTTGCCACATTGTCTTTACTTCTTTGTATGTATACACATTATTCTAATTTTCACTGAACCATTTAAGAATAAGTTCTAGATAGGATACTTCTAAATACTTGAATATGTATACCCAAGGAGATACAATTGACACAGGAAATGTGATATTGATAGAGTAGTATTATCTGATGTGCAGATCTGTCTCTGATATCTTTTATACCAGTAATAGTAACTACAATGAAGTCCCCATCAGGGAAACAGTCCAGGATCACACATTGTATTTAGTTGTCATGTTTCTTTAATATTAATTTTCTCAGTCTTTCATTGATGTTAATACTTCTGAAAAATATAGATCATTTGTTTTCTAAAATGACTCTCAATATAAGCTTGTTTTATACTTCTCCATGATTAGAGAATCAGAATAGAGAATCTGGGAAGAAATGTCACACAGATGACATTGTGTCTTCATAAGTATACCACCCAGCAAGTACATGATGTCAGATTTGCCATCACTACTGTGGTTAACTTTGAGCACTCAATCTGGATGGTGTTCATTAGATTTCCCTGTAAAGCTATCTTTTTTCTCATTATAACTCATAAATTTGTAACATAAAATTTAATTATATAAGTTATAGTTTCTCTGTGAAGAATACTGCAAAACTATGTAAATATCCTATTCCCAAGAACTTTTTAACTGCATAGTTTTAGGATCCCTGGAAATTGTTGCCTGAATCAATTAAATAATATCCTTGCGAAATGATGGATTACATAACTCATTCCTTATACAAGTTGGCATTCTGTTGAAAAGAAGAGGCTTTTCTTTCCCATTTGTTTGTTTGCTTGATTGACTGCTTAATTATAAATATTGACTGAGGATTATTTTCTTTAAGTGTATCATATAATCAGTTGCTATCATTCATTGTAATGCTCATATTATCATACAATTGCCCTATGTAACTTCACTGATCCCTAAGAGACAAATCCTTGGTGCAGAGAGGAGTAGCATTTTTAGCCTATTCAGAGTGTTTCTCAGATTTTAATATGAAGATCCTTAGGCCCCAGATTCTTCATTCCTGTCAAGTTCCCTCATAATGATGATAGTCCATGGACTGCAGTAGAAAGTATCAAAGCCATTTCATTCTGAAGGCTGGCCTTAAAGAGTTAAAAAAAAACATTTTTGCTTTTTGTATTCCTATAAGAATTACCTCATTAGCAAGGTAGAGAATGACCTTTTGTAAATTCATGAGCTCTGGTAGCACAGGGGAGGGAAGAGACACCTTGCCTGCTTGATTCCCAGAAAGTAGGATTACTAGGATCACTGTGATCACCACATTTATGCTTGATTTTGCATTTGTCTTAAAATGTTGACTTTCAGAGAGGTGGCTTCAGTTTTTGGTATCTGGGATTGTGGAAATAGTGACATTTTCAGTAATGGATGTGAATCTACCACTCTTCTTCATTAGTTTGTTATTATTTATTGATATTAAACTCTCCTCAAATTTGGGAATGAGGACATGGTTCATGTGATAAAAGCAATTGCCTAGTCATTTTGAGCCCCTTAGTTCAAACTCCAGTGCTGCCAAAGGATCGGGAAGACCAAGGCGGAGGAGGAGAGAGAAGGGGGAGGAGTGGGAGAGGTTGTTCTTTTCGTTCTGAGAATATGAGATAACTGCCACTGGCAGATTTCAGTATCTCTTGGTTGAATAATTTCTCTTTAAAACTCATTTTAGACAGATTCTTGTCAGTACTGTGGTCATTTGTAATTTGTAAACATTACATTCATAAAAATTCCAAATATACATGGTACTTTTTAATTGCTCAATAACCTTGTTTAGCTTATTTTCCTGACATAATTTTATTTGCCCATCTGTTATTGGACATATATTTTCTCCTTGGTTTATTCTGTTAAGAATTGACGCTGTTTTTTTCTTATAGAAGAAGAAAACTTTACAACTGAGGGACTCCCCTAGAAAAGGTCTTAAAGGATACTGTAGAAATCAGAGGTCAGCTGCTGATATGAAATAATGACTACGTAGTTTATTAGTCACAAGTAGGAATTGGGGAATGAATGAATGTGGAAGGCATTTATGTCAATTCAATTAACAGAATCTGAAAGATTTCCAAAATGAGTGCTTTCACTTTTTCTTTCCCTCCTTTAATCTCTACCATTCGTTCTTTGCTTTTCTGGCATTTAAATAAGATAGCTGATCATAACATCAGATTTCTGTAAAGCTTCATCAAGTTCTGATATAAATGACTCATAATTTCTTAGGTCTCATTGCTCTCTCTTAGCTTCCCATTCTTTGCATCCCTGGAGAGCGAGGCTAGATTTGTTTCCCTTATTGAAAGAACCTACCTGCTGCTATAGCCCTTGTCTGTACGAGAGAGGGCTACAGCTTTGGTGATTTGTCCCATGATCACATTACAATACTTAGAAAGTTCATTTGATAATAAAACAGTAGTTAGAATTTCATTCTCCCTCCCTCAATAACATATGTCTAATAGAATGGTGTTTAATATAGGCACAATAGGAAAATATCTTCTCTCAAACCTACCTAAAATCTAATAAACTACTTAAGTAGATATCTTTAAGTCCTCTTTGTTGGAGGATGTCACCTGAAGGTTTCTAGTCTCCAGCTGTATAACTGGCTTAAACTTGTAAGAGATCATTGTCCCAGGGGCCCAGTTGTTGCTGTAGAAGCAAGGACCACAGAACTTCTGGTCTGTACAGGCCACCATCACAGTATTCTAGGGTTTGTCCATGGCTGAGTGCCCAGCCCTGTGGAGAGAAGAAAGGCTGTTCAGTGCCTCTAGTGCTAGACACCTGGTACCAATTAGATCACACCTGCTTTCTGCTGTTTGGTTTCTCCCTCTCTTCTATGAGCTACCCTTTAAAAAACCATTGAAACCTAAAAATATTTCATAGTCTAGCTCACATTTCCATATATCTCTTTATAATCTATGAAAAGGACATGGATTCTTTAGCTAATGGGAAACAAGAGGAAAAGTTTTACCTATTCATTCATTGAAATGTAGAATATCTTATTCTTTCTGACACTGAAAAATTCTCAGAAGACCTGCTTCCAAAAACCTAGGACTGTCAACATCCTTCACAGTGCCCAAAACAGTGTTTAACATGTGTTAGGGAATGGGAATTCTTTATTGAATACATGATCCAAAACAAGAAAGGATGGCAACTGAGTACATTGTGTTTTCACATCTCATTTATCAGCTATTTAATTAAATGCCCAAGTACTCCAGCATGACCTCATCTTAACTTCATTACACCTTTAAAGACTGTATTTCCAAATAAAATCACATTCACCAGTACCAGATTTTAGGACTTCAGCATTTCTTTTAGGGGCACACAGTTCAACTCATAACAGGCATTTAGAATGGATTTATGCAGTACTTAATGGGAGATACTTAACATTTAATGTGGCACATTAAAATGATGACATTACTAAACAAAATATAAAAAACATGAATTGTTTACATGGTTGTCAAGTATGGATATTATAAATGTCAACTTTTAAAAACAATTCTACTAGTTGGTTTTGTTAATGGCTAATTTATTGTTGGATGCTTTTAACATGAGATGTCTTAGTTGACATAAAGACTTCATTTAGGCTGGAGGGGTGTATTAAATGATAGAGCACTTGTAGCGAGTGTGAGGCTGAGTTCCAATCCCAGTACCACTATCAAAAAAAAAAAAAAGACTTCATGCAAGAACTTATGCTTGTGCTTATAAGTTTAGTTTATGACTACAGAAAGTCATTTCTAGTAGAAATCAGTGTTCAACTTAAAACCTCTGACATCATGGGTTAAAAAGGATTAAAGAATAAGAAAATACTGTGACCTACCAATTTATAATAAGCAAATTTTGCAGTAAACTTCCTGGCAATACTTGTGATAAGCACCATCCTTTTAACATTTTTAGAAAGTGAAGTATCATTGTAAGTTCACATCAGCATCAACAGTCCTTAAAACTTATGAGAGTACATGTATTTACTTTTTTAAATTCCTCTGGCAGTTCTTTTAATATTTAATATTTAAATGATCTGATGCCAAAGTCTCCTCTTTTACCATTCAACAAACATATAGGTAATAAATGAGCCTCAGTCTTGGTGACTTAGCACAGCTAAGTGCCTTGAAATCCTTTCCCCTATTCACAGATTCTTTTTGATTTGCATATTATAGCCACCTTAAAAAAAAAAAGAAAGAAAGAAAAAAGAGAGTGAGCTAGGCTCCAATGGCTCAGGCCTGTAATCCTAGCTACTCAGGAGGCTGAGATCTGAGGATCACAGTTTAAAGCAAGCCAATGCAGGAAAGTCAGTGACTCTCTTACCTCCAATTGAGCACCAAAAGAAAAAACAAAACAAACTGAAGTAGAGCTGTGGCTTAAGTGGTAGAGCACTAGACTTGAGGGGGAAAACTAAACAAACTCAAGGACAGCGCTCAGCCCAGAGTTCAAGCCCCAAGACACACACACACACACACACACACACACACACACACGAAAGGGAGAATATTGCAAGTATCTATCTACATTTTAAATTTTTTGTTTAACATCATTGAAATAAAAGCACTCTTTGCCTTAAGCTAATCAAACCAGAGCTGGTTGCCACAGCTGCAGTGTTCTTATTTTCAAATGTGCCCTCTCTTGTTGCAGCTGCTGTGTTTCAAAGGTGATGGGATGGTGGGCTCTCACCACCCTGTTCTTCAGGGCCTCCTCTCGGCCCAGGATCCAGGCTGCTGAAGCTGGCCATGGTGAGGCTGGAGTTCACAGATAACACACTCCAGCATGACTTCCTGAGGTCAGGCCAGCTTACAGCACTCTCCGTAAGTATGCCAGCAGATAGCTAGCTGACTGCTTGAAGCCTGCTTTCTCTTAGGTCAGTACCTGGGAATTCTAGACAGAATGGGAAATTACATTCTCTTTAAATATCACCAGGAATTTTTAGTGTTTGGAAGCCACAAGTGTGTGGCCGTGCCTTGTCTTCGGCAAAAGTTTTTTCCTTTTCTCTCTCTTAAAAGACTTCTACCATTGTGACATAGTAGAAAGGTTGAATTACTACAAACTTTTATAAAACAGAATTAAAGAATATTTTCTAGCCAAGTGTCATAGTACATACCTATAGCTAGCACTTTGGATTATATTGAGGCAAGGAAGATCATGAATTTGAGACCAAACCTGAGCTACATAGTGAACCCCTGTCTCAAAAACACAAAATGTTTCTAAGTCCCTGGAGTGTTTGATGATGATGATGACGATGAAACTTCTTAGAAACTCTTTCAATGAAGTTTTATTGGACTATGGCTATATCCATTAATGTGCATATTCTTTTAGGTAGTTTTATCCCTCCTTGATCAGAGTTAAGTAGTTGCCATAGAAACTATTTGACACTCAAATCATAAAATATTTACTGTATGTTTTTCAGATAAAGTTTGCCAGCATCTGCTCTGGGTAGTACTTCTTCTTCTTCTTCTTCTTCTTTTTTTTGGGGGGGGGTCCGGTCATGGGGCCTGAACTCTGGGCCTGGGCACTGTCCCTCAGCGCTTCAGCTCAAGGCTAGCACTCTAACACTTGAGCCACAGTGCCACTTCTGGCTTTTTTCTTTTTGCTTATGTGGTGCTGAGGAATTGACCCCAGGGCCTCAGGCATGCAAGGCAAGCTCTCTACCACTGAGCCACCTTCCCAGCCCCTGGGTAGTACTTCTTGATTACACAATAATCTGTTTGAGTATGTGAAAGGACCCTTAGGGATTTTGTATCCCAAATCTAAAGCAATTTTATATTTCAAGTCACTTCATAAAGTGACTTGCCAAGGCGCCTACTATTGGCTGGAGATTTTCTTTTATCTATTTTTAAAAGGAGAAATTTTTAATGCATGGTGATATATAGTCATAGAATAATAATTTTTCAGTTCAGAGTATTTGCTTCCAATATTTATGTATAGAGAAGGCAAATTGTAACCCAGAAAGTAACTTTGTAGAATCAGAGTTAAAAATGGTGGCTGGTAATTTTGTCTAATAAGCTGCCTTTGAGTTGCATCAAAACACACACTCCTTGGAGAGGTAGAGAAGGGAAGAGATAGTAGGAAAAAAACAAAGGAGGGGTAACAATATTTGACAAGAAATGTACTCATTACCTTACTCATGCAAGGTACATACAGCATCTTTACAATAAAATAAAATTTAAAAACACGCACACATCTCTGGTTCCTGGCCCAAATCAATGTCTCCTAGTGCTAGGCAGGGTTGCTAACACATATTGCTCTTTACATTGCTCTTTTTGTACTCCATACTAATCATTCTTTTTCTGTTTACATAAACTTTTTCCAGACAGAGTAGATATAATTGATTATGGCTAGGTTTACTAAGTATACCATGTTTCTGCCACTCCTGCCTACCTAAACTAAACCCAAGCCATTCCATTGGAGTTTTGAATGTTTGTAAAACTCTCTGATTTCTGTGAACAACTATTCTCTAATTTCACCTTGACATCACCAACTTAATCCATTGCTTTCATATTTCACTCATTTGCCTCATAGAAAACAACCTTATTTTCAAATTCCTATAGGGTAAAAAACAGATACCTTGAAGCAGAGTTAGATAATTAGCTTTTGTCTAAGGCATAAAAGCAAACAAGTAGTTGTATGAAGGTATTTGATCTAATTATTTGTTTATCATGAGGCCTTAAGTTATGTCCTAATGTTTCATTGTCATTTTTATCTAAATACTATGGAACAGTATAGATTAGAGATTCTTAAAGTTAATTCAGCAAGCATCTGTTGCTCTAATATGCAGTGAATATTAGTTAGGTTATCTAACATGTTGATGTGATATGTACTTTTACTATAGCCATGTTGAGAAACCCAAGGTAGAGTTTGGTTGCTTGCACCAAAACATGAAGCCAGTAGAGATTGTGTCCATATTTGAATATGAGCAGCCTTGAGTAGAAAGACAGACATCATATATTTACTTGTTCACTCACTCGTTCATCCATTCAACAAAAATTGAACCAGAATCTGTTATGTTTTAGATTCAATTCTGGTAGTTAACAGTAAGGACCAAAGTTGTCCCTTGTGTACTTTAAGCGGTTAATGCTTTTCTGTACATCCATCTTATATTTTCTTCTGTTATCTAACTTAAGATGCTTTAATGATAGTACTTTTATCGCTTTCTCATCCATCAGGTGTCAGATATTTTATAATTGGAAGGATCTTTTCCAGTCAGCTGAGATAACCCTTTTCCAACAGAAGTAAGCTTGAATACAGATGCAGTTTCTTTCCACTTGAAGTGTGGAGGGCCAGTTATCACAGCTTCTGAGACTTGTGTAAAGCTTATTACCCTGAAGGTCAAGAATTAGTATTTCTAGTTGATGTCTCCTGGCTTTCATTGAAGCCAGTTTTCTCTTTGGTTTGCCACAAACCTGGGAAAAAGTCAGATTACCTCTTTAAATAGCTGAAGATAAAATGAGTTCAGTAGTTTACCTTTTTTATTTTCAATTTTTTTTCTTTTGTGAGGAGGCTCAAATTAGAATTGAGAATAGAAGGGAAAAGGCCTTATCCTCTTCTAGTGCTCTGTCAGCTTCCTCCCTTTATTTCTCCACCTGTCAGCCAGCAATGAATTACCATAATGACACTGCTACAGTGTCAACTCATAACTAAAACCTTATGTCCTTCCTTGGTCTTTCTTCCTAAGGACTAAGGAAGATGCAATTCCTGGTAGATCTGGGAACAGATAACTCAACTGAAGGCTCATTAATTATGATCCAGCATGGAGAACTTATATTTTAATGAAAAAAAATTATGTTACCCCCTCATTAAAGGGGATTTAATAGTCATTATACACTACTTCAATTTCACTACTTCTTAATTTTTTTAATATAAGAACTAGTTTTCTTTGGATTTAGCAAAATATCTAGGTTTCCCCTTTTATTTTGAAATTTGGGGTATGCTAAATATGGACATCAGAGGAAAAAGAATTTCTGACCATTGCATTTTTAGTTTGTATTGATTTCATTACTCTGGTTCCAAGTATTCATTCCACAAACATTCTTTGACTATATTGCATCATCCAAACATTTGTTGAACCTTTGTAATAGCATTGCTAGGTACTGTTCAATGTCTGGTATTTTCAAAATTACTACTATACTTTAACATTTCTTAGAGTGCTTCATAGCTTACAATTTGAAAGACATTTCTTGTGTTAGGAGTAGAAATGCCAGCTACCAAGGAGTTGGAAACAGAATGATCATGTTTTGAGGCCCTTTTTATTCAATCCTCAATCTCAAATTTAAAAAAGAAAATTCTTACCTGTTATCTCACTACATGATTATTATAACATGTAAGTATATAGAAAAGGGGCTGGGAAGGTGGCTCAGTGGTAGAGCACTTGCCTTGCATGCATGAGGCCCTGGGTTTGATTCTCCAGCACCACATAAGCAAAAAGGAAAAAAGTCCGAAGTGGTGCTGTGGCTCAAGTGATAGAGCGCTAGTCTTGAGCTGAAGAGCTGAGGGACAGCGCCCAGGCCCAGAGTTCAGGCCCACGACTGGAACCAAAAAAAAAAAAAAAGTATATAGAAAAAATTTCCCTGTAGACTCCTGGTTAAGATGACAATATAATGTCCATTTTTATTGGCGAAAAACAAATCTGAGGGAGATGTAATTATTTGCCCTGCCAAAACCAGTTTCTTTTTTTTAAATACGTTTTTTATTATAAAAATGCTGTACAGAGGAGTTACAGTTACATGAGCAAGGTAATGAGTACATTTCCTATCAAGCATTGTTACCTCCTCCTATGTTTTTCCCCTATCCTTCTGGCTCTAGACCTGATACCTTCTCTTCTGAACCTCAACTATCTATAAAATCAGGACATTTTCTCCAATTTTTTTCCTCTGGTATTTAGTTGTTTATGTCTTTAAAGTTTCACAATGGCTCCTAACTTAGAGTGATTTACATTCAGATTTGATGGATTCTTCTTGGTTTTTGCCTTGAAGTCATTTGCTTAATGTATGATCCTTGAGAATTTAATCTGACCCTCCAAAACAAGTTACAGTTTTGTAAATATGTTTTGAAATATCATATTATGATTGAAATATATCTAGCTCTCCCTTATACTTTGTGCCTATTGGAATTCCATTCTCTTTTTATTCTAGTATGGTGGGAATTGGCTCCAGCTAGCCAGTAGCATGATAGTAAAGAAAACCTGGTTAGTTTCTTCTGCTACTTAAAGGAGAAATAAGTTGTCTCTTCTTTTTAGCATAATATGTTGTATAAAGCACTTAGAAATATTTATCTAGTTCCATCTTACTCAGACTAACCTGTCCCTATACTTAATCTCTTTTTCTGTCTTCATTGGTAGTATATTTTAATGTCTCCCTCATTCTGGCTTTCTAGTTTGGGGATTGTGTCTTGTAGTCTTTGTAACTGGCAGGGAAGGTACATAGGCCTGATTTTTTTTCTTTTTTTGCTACCTATAATGCTTCTTTCAATTGGAGTTCTAGCCACTTGACCATGCTCTATTTAATAGTTTATTAAAAAGTTGGCATATTTCTCTAAAATTGTTTCTTGTGGATAAGTCTGTACTCCCTGGAGTGATTTTAATTAATAGTCCTAGAGGACCGGAGACTATACTTTTACATATCTTTTGTAAAGATGCTTCCAAAAAGAAATACAAGGAAGAATATTCTGGATCTGTCTTGTGCAGTTATTCAGTAAATATTTATTCGTACGTTTACCGTTTGCTGTCAGCTCCACTAGGGGTGCATAGTCAGATGGTAGATCAACTGGGTTTACATTCTAGAAGGAAGTTCAGACTATTAAATCAGAGACTCTA